ATCGCCGCCCTGGCCAAGAACTTCTTCAACGAGCTCTCCCACAAGGTCAGAGGCCGCCACCATTCGGGTTTGCGTCTGCCGCCCGGGCGGGTGTGCGTGTCCATGACCCCATCTCCAACACACGTCTCCCCCCTGCAGGGCAACGCCGTCTACAACCTACTCCCCGACATCATCAGCCGCCTGTCAGACCCCGAGTGCGGCGTGGAGGAGGAGCCCTTCCGCACCATCATGAAGTACGCCCCTGGGGCGGACGGGAGCTGTGGAATAAATAAGGCCGGGCACTGTGCTCACGCCTGTAGTCCCGGCTATCTAGGAGGCAGATCTGAGGATCAGTTTGAAGCCAGCGCGGGCAGGAAAGTCCATGAGACTCTTCTCTCCGACAATTCACCAAAAAGCTAGAATTGGAGCTTGTGGCTCACGTGGTAAAGCCCCAGCCTGGAGCAAAAGGAGCTCAGGGACGGCGCCCAGGCCCTGAGTTCGAGTTCCACAAATGGCACATTAAACAACAACACAAAAAGATGGCGCCTCCTGTGGAGGGTGCCCCCATACCTTGTAGCCGCCCTGCGCCTGGGGGAGGGGAGAGGCTGGGGTCCCGGGGCGGGGGACCCACGTGCTCCCCGCTTCCCGCAGGCACCTCCTGGCCTACATCACGAAGGACAAACAGCTGGAGAGCCTGCTGGAGAAGCTGTGTCAGCGCTTCCGCACGGCGCGGTAGGTGGGGGCCCCCCCAGCCTGAGGGCCCCGGCCAGGGTGGATGGGTCCCCGAACTGTGCCGTGCCCCCCCAGCACCGAGCGGCAGCACCGGGACCTGGCCTTCTGCGTGGCGCAGCTGCCCGTGGCCGAGCGCGGCGTGCGCCGCCTGCTGGATCACTTCGACTGCTTCGGCGACAAGCTGACCGACGACGCCGTGTTCGCCGCCTTTCTGTCCATCGTGGGCAGACTGCGGCGTGGGGCCAAGCCCGAGGCCAAGGTGAGTGCCAGGACATACCCCCCACGCCCACGACCGCGCTGGGATTTTGGCTTTGGTCACGGTCCTGGTGCAAGATCTCAGGCTGGTGCTCTACCACCTGAGCCACGCCGCCACTTCCAGCTTTTTGCTGTTTTCCATCGGCGAGGAGGCTTGTGGATTTTAACTGGCAGGACTGGCTTAGAACCTTGGTCCTGGGCTCCGTGTCCCTGGGACAGGATCAGGGGTGCCCTTGTAACGAGGAACGAATGAAGGTCGTGACCAAGTGAATGACTGACTGTGCTAAGCCCCGCAGCACTGTTTAGGGTGGCTGGATGTAAATCATCATCTAACACTGTGTCTACCATGCCAGACGCCAGCTGTGGGCCTGAATCTCTGCGCCACGCCTCCCTCCCCCGGCCCGGGAGTTTTATCCCCTCCGTCCTCTCCTGGGCCAAAGTGCCAAGAGCTGGGCTCTCCATTCGCTTGTTCTCTGGAGCCAGGATGTAAGCAAGAGCTCTGTAGGCGCTGGACGGGTACCGTGGGACTAAGCTGAATCCCGGCCAAATCTGGCATCTTCCAGTCAGTAGTAGACAAGGCTCTGTGTGTGTGTGTGTATGTGTGTGTCCATTGTGGGGCTTGAGCTCAGGGCCTGGGCGCTGTCCCTGAGCTTCTTTTGCTCAGGGCTGGCGCTCTACCACTTGAGCCACAGCTCCCCAGTTCCAGCATTTTTTGCAGGCATAGCTACTGGAGGTCAGAGTCTCCCAGGCTTTTCCACCCCGGCTGTCTCCAAACCTGATCCTTAGATGACAGCCTTGTGAGTAGCTGGGATTCCAGGCGCGCGCTACCCTGCCCAGCGCAGTGCTGTTCTTTGCCCTGCAGGCTGTGGTGGACGAGTTTGAGCAGAAGCTGCGGGCCTGCCACTCTCGAGGGCTAGACGGGATGGACGAGCTGGACCCGGGCCCAGGAGGCAGCCAGCAAGCCCCGTCGGCCAAGAAACGGGGTACGCTGCCCCCCCCCCCCCCCCCCCCCCGCCCAGCAGCCTCCGTTTCCAGGCAACCTCCCAGCCTCGCTGGTCTCCTCTAGTCCCTAGAACGCAGGCCGCGGCTTCCACGGCCTCGGACGACTTCGCCACGCCAGAGCCACGCAGACCCACGCGCCGGCCTCCACGCACCACCAAGAAGAAACCCCAGGTCGTCTTCTCCAGCGATGAGTCCAGTGAGGAAGGTACGGCCCCCCCACCCCCCATGCCCTGGGGGACCCCCCAGCGCGCGCCGCCCTCCTCCCTCCCGTTCTCTTTCTAGAGCTTTCCGCGGAGATGACGGAGGACGAGACCCCCAGGAAAACCACCCCGCTCCGCAGGGCGTCCCGCAGGCCCCGCTCCTAGCCCCAGCCCTGCTGTATTGGCTCACCTCCGTGGAACGTTCTAGAATGCCTGGGTTTTTAATCTGTCCATAGTCTTTGATTGCTTTTAACCTGGCCTCCTGGGCTGGGCTGGCTTTTACCGGCCGCGTGGGCCTTGCTTTCTAGCGAATAAACGTTTTATTATTTGGTCTTTTTAAAGCATGGTCTGGGATTTCTGTCGCTCCCGGGGCTTGAACTCGGGGCCTGGGCGGTTTTCTCGTTTTGTGTCAGCACTGGGATTTGAACTCAGCACCTCCTGGTCTCCCTTAGCTTTGTTCCTCCAGGATGACCCCCTCAGCCTCCCTGCAGAGGGTCTTCAACCCCCAGAGAAAAGGGGAGCCCAGGCCCCCACATCCCGTGAGCTTCCCGCTCCCCTGTCCACAGCCCCTGGCTCCCGTGATGAGGTCTGCTGCTGAAATGGGGTCACCTTGGCCCAGAAAGACGGCTTGTGTCAGCCGGATGCGGGGTGCACAGCTGTGTGACACCCCAAGGTCAGCAGCTGGGCTGATCAAACCTGTGCCAGGCCAAGGGCTGTGTGGCCAGCCTGAAACCCCGCCTGCATTCATCCCCCCAGACCAGGAGTCCCCATCGGCGCCCCTGCATCTAAAGGAGGCCCCGCCCAGAGCAAGCCCGCCCCCCCTGCTCCCCGCGTCTGCCGTGTGCTGAGTCACCCTCAGCAGCCCCAGCACACGAGTCTGTTGTCATGGCAACCGCACAACTGCGTCAGAAGCACTGCGGGCGCCTGTGCGCGGGGCGGACGCTGATGACAAGTGACAGGGGAGACGAGGCCCTGGTCACGCAGAACATGGAGGGGCTCTTAAGCCCCCCCTTATTTTGCGTGCCCATTCAGGCTCTTGAACTGAGGGCCTGGGAGCAGCCCTTCCTTTGGACACTCAGGGCGGGCGCTCTACCGCCTGAGCCACGGCGCCACTTCGGCTTTTTGCTGATTCACTGGGCTGAGTCTCCACACTTTTCTGCCCAGGCTGGCTTTGAACCTGGGTGTTCGGAGCGCTGCCCCTGGGGTAGCGGGGTGGCCCTTGCTGGGAAGAGGAGCAGCAGCTGCCGGGTCCCCTCCCCCCCCCC